TTTTTTCTTCAATTCGTGAGCCATATAATAAACAACTTAATAACCTCGACCGTTCGGTCGTTACGGGAAAATCTCAAACCTCGGCCTACCGTACTGACCGCGCTGTCGCTCGGTCAATACGGCAAGACCTCAGTTTGAGATTTTCCCGTAACGACCTCACTCTCGGTTATTAAGTAGTTAGTAATTGGCTAAAATGCGGCCCTCTTGCCCTCTCAGGATTACTGGCTGTCCTCCATGAAAAATGTGTGTTCTTTGTGTCACATAATAGTTCCTTTAGTGTGAGCCAGCTCGAGAGCCAATGGCTACTCGGGTTACCACACACATAACTTTTTAGTCTATCCCTAACCATACGTAACGAATATGTTTTTTCTATATTTATATTACTATTTAATAAACAACGAAAAAAAGAAGTGGTTTCACACAATCGTAGCAGTGCTCGATACAAATACATGTAGAGCGAAATCCAAATTGAGATAGAAACTACAATTACTCGAGTTTCGTGCTTAAAGCGATCATCATTCATCTTAATTTGTAATACTAACTACTGTAATGTAAACTCTGTTAATAGTACCCAATAAATAGGTGAAAGTTGAAAGATATGGAAGAATATAAAGGTAAAAAAATAAATAAATATATCTTTCTTGATCAAGCTTGTTCAGTTAAGACGGCTGGATATGCACTTTGTTCTTTTTGTGATAGAACACGTCAACTAAACACGCAGAAAAGAACTTGGCTAAATATCCAGCCGTTTGAAATCACGCATGGTAACACATGTTACATCCACATGTCTTTCCAACTTTGTTGTAGGGTACAGCAGCCGCTCGGGATTCGCCGTCTACAACAGCTGTAGATGCTGTGGCCCTGGGAGAAAGCGTGCTTTACGAATCCTACTTCGTGTGCATCACTATTTCTGGTCAAGCAACACTGATCGAGTATGGTAAGAGTGTGGGAACAAAGGACGGTGGAATCGTCTACCTCAACATGATTGACAGGAGCAGAAACTTCGACATTAGATTCTATGCTTTTGGAAATAAGGACGAGCCAGCAAACATTATGGACGCTCATATCGTGTCACACAAGCGAACGGAAGTCACGTGCAAGGGAGGCACAATGAAAGACGCGATCGAGAATTTGTGCGCGAAAAATTGTCACAAACATTGTAATCCTGTAGCAGGTCAGTGTTTTAATTTGGTTAGTAAAATTACTCCGAGCTGGGAATTTTAAGACCACATTTGCTTTTGGAAAATAAGTTCAAAAAAGAAATACGTTTGCTCATTTGAGTGAGGAAAGTAATTTGCATTCTCGACACTTTCTCATGTACATGTAATAAGACCGAGACGAGTCGCAACTCTCTCAGACAAGTTTTCCCGTGCTTAGCGCACGTTCGTCGCCGATTGCATGTGTTTACTTTGTTGTTTGGTTCACTGGATTTGCTGTGATCTTTCTTAGGGTATTAAGAGCGATTAATTTTGTTTTGGTTTTACGACTCTAATTTGAAAAACCATTGCAAGATATGAATTCGCCTTCACACTTGAGTTTGGCGCAAATCGAGCCCCATGATGGTGGCTCGTTAGCTGTGTACTCAAGACCTTCCCCCCCTTCCCCCGCCCCCTGAAAAATCTATTCCAGAGGTACAGGTTGTCTTTCGCGGGCATTGCATTTCATTTGTTGGAGAAAGCAAAAACACTTGGCTAGCACTGGGTGGCCAAACACTGAGCAACTTGAGACGCCAATTTTATTTCAATCGATGTACCCAAGTCGTCAGGTTAATTTTCCACGCGTCTGCTGACGACTCCGTTTAATCTTTGGAGTGAGCTCTCCGTTTAATCTTTGGAGTGAGCGGTGATTGGTTCCTTGCGTTAATTAGCCACATTCTGACTGGCCAGAATTTAGTTTTACAGCAGTCATCGATTACTTCCCCTTACCGCTTCGCACGAAATCGAGCTTCAATAAGAAATAACATTTCGTTTACTTCGTAGGCTGCAAAGCACCGAACAGTGATGAACAGTGCTATGTTTGTCGAGTTGTGAAGAAAGCAGGCACGGAGCAATGTCTTGACGAATGTCCATCAACGTCTATGATAAACAAAAACAAGGAGTGTGTTGGTGAGTACAAGAAAGGAACCACGACGGGTTAAATCTGATGTGACATTGTGCGCAGTGCAATTTGTGCACTCTTCTATCTTGGGCTGGACCTTGTTGTGGTGTAGAAGCTTGCGTGGCTCAATGATCTCGATCAAGGGCTGTGATGACTGGGGTGCATACCCCTGGCAGGTTCAGCTATGCCAGAGAGGTCTTCAGTGAGAGTCCTGACAGAAGCAGCCCAGCAGTTTCTTGATCCCCTCCGTTAAAAAGTCAATCCGCTACAGAAACTACTTCAGTGCGCAGTACACTAGCTGTGCCGAAATGATACCACAATAACCATTTCCTCTTTACCTATTTAACACCTCTGTACCCTGTATCCTTGCCAATTTTAGAATCCTACGATGCAAAGGTGGAGTTCGGATGGCTCTTGAGCAGAGAAATCTCAGTCGAAGACGAACTTAGTACCTGCATGTGGTTGAAGTTGGGAGAGGGAAACTGGAATGAAGACAGTGATTTCGTTTGGCCGGTTTGGTTAGAAATGAATGGCATGAATATGCTCACCTCTATAAGAGGAGAAGCTGATGGCCTTTTCTTGCTGTATACACACGGTGGCATCAATGAAAAGTAAGCCATTTTTGGATATTTTAGGAGGCGATCGTTTTCCTCTAAAATATTACGAGGAAGGGCGCAAGTCTTTTACCATTTGTAATCGCGATGAAGGCCTAATGAATTTTTACGTAATCAGTGTAAAAATGTCCTGATTGATCTGATGTGGTTTATTTATAAAGTGTAACGTTTGCAAATCGTTGAACTAACAGGCTTTGCATTTTATCGGTTGTGCTGACTCAGCCTGATGTTTGTTCAGGAGAATGGGCGGCTACACACACGCTAGGATTTTTTCGTGTGTGATTGTTTAGTAACGTTTGCTATCTGAAAAACTGGAATATATACTGCCGTTAACTACTTCTATTATTTTTGTGTGTGTGTGTGTGTGTGTGTGCAGACGAAACGTGGATTTGTTCAAAGACAAAGCCTGGCACCAAGTGTGTATGTCATGGTCAACTAAGACGGCTGCCTGGTCTATTTACATCGACGGTAAGAGGGATACATACGGAACGTACAACGACTTCCTGGGACGAAGGCTGGGTACCTTGAAGATTGTAAATTCCAAATCGCTAAACAAAATGCTCATTACACAAGTCAACCTCTGGGACCGCGTCCTCAATAATCAAGAGATCGAAGCCATCTCGAAATCGTGCAACAACGGAATAGGAAGCTTACTGTCCTGGGCTGATTTGTACGATGTAGCTAAGAAAAGGCGATACATCAAACCCTCCTCATGCCAAGCCACTCCAGAAGCTGTGTCCACTACTGTCACGCCACCCCCGACAACAGTGACAACTACACAGGCAGTGACTACAAAGGCACCAGCACAGGAGAACCGAAGATTCAACTCAAACTATGGGATGTGACGAGAGGCAAAGGGATACGACAACAATGCGATGACGTTCATACGGGTGCCAGTGAAGTGATATTTATAACATAACTAAAGCAAAGCGCGCGCTCTGATTGGTTAATTTAGCGTCTACTATTTGCCCATG